GCAATAACGCGGCTGAATAACAACAAAGTTGCTGGAGCTGACAGCCTGTCAGCGGAGCTATTCAAGTACGATGGCGAGGAGTTGATAAGGTGCATGCATCAACTCTTATGCAGAATATGGTCAGATGAACGCATGCCCGACAACTGGAATTTATGTGTGCTCTGCCCAATCCACAAGAAAGGCGACCCCGCCATTCGCGCCAACTACCGCGGGATCAGCCTTCTAAGCGTAGGTAAGGTTCTTGAAAGGATACCAAAGCTGTGTGCTGAAATTGCTTATCAAGAAATGTATTTTTTATTCATAAATAAAAAAGTCTGCATCGCAGGTAGCAAGTTGTGCAAATACTTTTGAACGTTAGTGTATAAACCTGCATTTGGCAGTGAAGCACCGCTGTGCAACAACATGTGCAAGAGCGTCTAGCTGTGCGCGTGTCACTTCCCTCCAAGTGCGGCGGAGCGCGCTTCTCCACAACATCTACTACGGCGGCATCGTTTTCGATTACATAATCGCATCGACGGCCGCTTATACTCTGCTTAACGTTGAGTTATCATGTTTGCTTGTCTTTTCGTGTGCAGTTTTTTTTTATATTTTTTTTTTCTATGCAAGTTCTCCTACCTCTGCTATTTCAATTTTATTGCTTAGTTTTGTGAAAATATATATGTAAGTAGTCGACCGGTTACTGCCACTGTCATCTTCCAACACGCTATCAGCATCACACCAGCAGCATTAGTCTTTGGCGCATCTTCAGTTTATTCGTCATTCGTTTTTGCCTATTCGTCTGCCGATCTAACTGACTTCTGTAATTCCCAAAGTTCGCATAGAAAATTTCCCGCGTTTTTTTATGTTTTATTTTCTTTGTATGTTCATATGTGTGTAAATAGGTATGCTTTGGTATATGTATTTGTATGGCGCATACGTAGGTGTATGCCGATACGCTATATGTATTTTTTCGCATTTCTTGTTGCTCGGCGGGTTTTTGCAATTTTCCCATATCATAAAGTAGTTTCATTGATTGTAAAGTGCTGCGAGTAGAAATAAAACAAATGAGAATTGTGGTTTAAAAATATTATTTCAGGCTTAGAGATATTTTTTTTGCATGTACCTTGCATCCTTGGCATAATTCTTGAGATTTAAAAATAAATCAAAGAAGCGTAATCTACGTGTACACTGACTTTAGATCTAGTTAGGTTAGTTTGGCTGTAAACCATGCTTGTAAATTGCAAATACTCTAAAAGTTGTCATTATTTTATGTATTCTGAAAATGGAATATTAAAATAAATGCTGTGACCCTAAGGTTTCAATAACAATGCAATGATAAATCGCAATATCTGAGGTCATCATTCCGAAAACGTTATTGTCGAATGCGTGTCTATCGTACGATGACAAAATATTATCGATCTCTGTCAAAAGTACTAAAACGATATCTTTGTCGAGCTTTGCCCGGAGTGTATATACATTTTAAAGTTATCAATATTTCGATAGCTTTAAAAAAATATATTGGAAATAAAAAAGAAATTCGATTTCGATATCTTTTAAGTAAATTTCTTACTCCAAAATTTAGGTGGCAACCTTATTCCGAAATAAAGTTCTCAACAATACCTTTAATTTGATATCCATATTGCGACGTTTTAGATAAATTGTGTTGAATCGCAAATAAGTGGCAACCTTACACTATTATCCTAAGGTATAACATTTTTTTATATAGGGAAAGCATTGTTTAAGAGCCTTTTCTTGGTGCCCATGAATAGTAATATTTTACCTTTCATTTTACCGATTCAAAATAGGTGGCAACCCTATAAAAAAAAAATTCTAATTAGAGAGCTTTAAAATACCTTCCATTTGATACCTATATTATGATATTTTAATTAATTCGTAACTAATTTTGAATAGGTGGCAACCTATCTCGCAGATAGTGCCTATTCAGATAACCTTAGAATCCAAAGCAGTATCTGTGTACAAAATTTCATCAAAATCGTTAGAGCTGTTTCCGAGAACGCTATGGATATATATATATATATATATATATATATATATATAAGAATTGCTCTTTTAATGTAACTAGTGTTCGCCCAGCGGTTGAAATTCAACCGATAAAATTAAGGATAGTTTATGTAAGTTGAATGAGCTAAAATAACATTAGTTGGAATGGGTTAAGTGGAGGGGAGTTTAGCTTAGTACTTGG